CGTCGGGCTCCCATGCGCCCCAGCGCTGCACCCCGGGTCCGGCCCCGGCCCCCTGCCTTGGTCCTGACCCCGGGACCAGAGTCCCCGACCTTCTTCAGCGGTGAGGACTCTCGTCGACACCGGCCGGGCAGATCTGTCAGGTGGGTGCCCCGGCCCAGTCCCCTCCTTGGCAAACAGAGGGCGCTGCCGTGCTGGGGAGACCCCAGTCCGTTCCTTGGCCCTAAAGGTGCTGAGGGATTCCTGAGGGGCCACCCCCACAACGGGGTCCCGGGACCTGGGCCTTTCCTGCCTTCGGCTGCCCCTTCGCGCCTCTGATCCTGGGCTGTGGCACTGGCCCTGGCTGCAGACACGCGTCTAGCGTCACCTGGCCTCCGCTCCCAGACCACTGGCGGGGAGCCAGGTCCCCGAGGCCCTGCCCTTGCTCAGCCTCCAGACTACGCGCCCCCCCACCAGCTGGGGCTGCCAGGCTGAAAACCAGGCTGGGAGCTGGGATGGGGGCGGGGCGGGGAGGTTCCTGGATGCCTGCAGGGTAGCGCCGGGGCCAGGAAGTGGCCTTTAAGTTCCCTGAATTTTATAGCAATGACCTTGCCACCCTACACCCACCCCGTTGGGTACCTGGGACAGACAGACGGACACACACAGGCTGACGCACACGGGGCGCACACCAGTCAGACACAGTCGCACCCACCCAAGGGCCCTGGGGGTTACCAAGTGTTTACTGTACTAGGTGTGAGGTGCCGGGAGGAACCACAAGTGACCCATGGCTACACACGGGTGACACACAGATCGCAGCCACGCGGGCCCATCCATGAAACAGGCTGAAAACAATGTGATCATCTCGGAAGACTGTCACCAAAACCCCTGCCCCCAGCAGGCATAGGGATGCAGCTCATACCCACGCAGACAGGGAAAGCCCTACTTCCATGTGGCGCATTTCCATGGGCCAGCCAGGCTTGGAAAAACATGTTTCCCGAGGCGTCTGCGAGCACACACGGATCTCCCCCCACTTTTTTTGTTGTTTGTTTTTTGAGACAGGGTCTCACTATGTAGCTCAGGCTGGCCTGGAACTCATGGTAACCCTCCTGCCTCAGCCTCCTAAATGCTGAGATTACAGCTGTACACCACCACATCTGGCTCCCTCCCTTGGACTTGTGCTAACACTTCTTGCACACCCAGACCCACAAACAGCTGTGTCACCTGGCACCATGTGCCCGCCCAGCAGACACAGGCCAGTGCCTGCTTTCAGCCTCCCTGTGACCTTCACTAAGTGAACCCCAGACCTTTCCGTGGTACCGGTGGCTGGTGGGGGGGCTCCACCCTGCTCCTCTGTCTCCTCTGAGGGGACAGTCCCGGTGATTGTGACTGAGTTTCTGTACAGCATAGCAGGCTGGCTGCCCCCGTTCAAGGCCACGTACTTCCACTAACCAAGTTATTCGTTCTCTCTGGGCCTCAGTTTTATTGTCAGGGAAATGGGGCTTTTAAATGTATCCAAGCCAGGCATGGTGGAGCACATCTGTCTTCCCAGCGCTGGGGAGGCTGAGGTGGGAGGATCAGGCTATCCTGGGCAACATAGAGAAACCGTGACTCAAAACATGAAACAAACAAAATGGTACCCAGAAAGAGCCCAGTGCTTGGCATGTGGCCATTCAACGGCAATTGTCCATGTCTGGTTTTATTATAATTTGTTTTTGTTTCATCCTCTGGAGTTTAATTTAATGTCCTGGAGCCCATGTGGGCATGCCGGGGGGGGGGTCCCACAGGTGTGGAGGCAGGTGACACCACTGGAATGCTACTGAGCGGTCAGCCTGCTCAAGGGAGAGTCGGGCTGGCTGTGTCACTCTAAGGGGCGTCCAGCAGCCCGGCTGTGGTGTGAGGCTGTCAGCCACCCTTGAACGCAGCTTGTGGCTCTGGGGTCCAATTCCAGGGGTGGTCATGCCCCCCACCCCCGCAGTCTGCTCTTAGCCCAGGAGACAGGCCCTCCTCCCCTCCTCTGCACAAACAGCCTTGCCCCAAGAGAGCTCACTTCTGGCCAGGACACCTGGAGGGCTCCTGCTGACGCGAGCCGAGTCCCCTGGGGGGGAGCAGCCGTCACCAGGAGGCTGAGCGCCCTCTGGGGCCGGGTCCCATCCTCCCACAGCTCTGTTCCTGGGTGGAGAGGGGGTGGGGTCCCCTATGGAGGTGCAGCCTCAGCCCTGCTGAAGCCCGGAACTCCAGGCTGGGCAGGGGGACTCAAGTCTCAGGCAGTGAGGCTGCCACCCCTCTTCACCCCTCCCTGCTTGTTTCTTCAAGGAGCAGGATGTTAACAGGACCCACTTACAGAACTTATGGCAACAGCCCAGCATGGTGGTGTATGCCTGTAACCACAGCACTCGGGAGGCCAAGGCAGGAGGAACTCCTTGGGTTCAAGGCCAACCTGGGCTATATAGCAAGACTGTGTCTCAAAACTGTCCCACCTCCAAAAAAAAAACCTCGTTGACATAAATAGGTCACTGGATACAAAGCATGTTGATAATGGCAGACACAGCAAGAACACAAGTGTCTCATAGCCAGGTGTGGTGGCCCACGCTCTAATCTCAGCACCCTGGGAGGCTGAGGCAGGAGGATGGCAAATTCAAGCCAAGAATGGGCAATTTAGTAATTTAAAGTGCCTCCAAATGAGAGATACAAAAAGGTGACTGGGAGTGGGGGATTTAGCTCAGTGGTGCCACTGCCTGCCTCACAAGCACAAGGTCCTGAATTTGATCCCTGGTACCAAAAAAAAAAAAAAAAAAAAAAAGTGACTGGGATGTAGCTCAGTGGGAAAGCCCTGGGTTCAATTCCCAGTACCACACACACACACACACACATAACCAAGAAATATCTTATTATTACAGTTCAAGCCTCCCTAATTAAAAAAAAAAAAACACTTTTTTTTTTTTGATATCAGAGAAAAAACTCAGGACCTTTCACTTTCAAGGCAGGCGGTAGAATCCCCCAAATTTGTTTTGTTTATTTTTGGTTCTGGGGATTGAACTCAGGACCTTGAGCTTGTGAGTCAGGGGGCAGCCCCACTGAGCTAAACCCCTGGTCCACACCATGAAACTTTGTTTCATGCACCACATGATTAAAAGCACTGCATAAGCTGGACCAGGTGGTGCACGCCTGAGTCCAGCACTTGGGAGGCTGAGGCAGGAGTTCAGGGCCAGCCTGGGCTACACAATGAGTTCAAGACCAACACAAACTATACAGTGAGGCTCTGTCTCGAAAAACTAAATTTTTTAAAGCACTGTATAAAATGACCTCTAAGGGCCAGGGATTTAGCTCAGTAGTTCCGCCGGCTGCCTTGCAAGCACAAGGACCTGAGTTGGATCCCTGGTACCAAAAATAAAAGAGGCAGGAGCAAATATTTGGGCCGGGGATTTAGCTCAATGGTTCTGCCGCCTGTCTTTCAAGTGCAAGATCCCGAGTTCGATCCCCGGTACCAAAAAAAAAAACTTCTAGTCAGTGTGCACGGTTCATATGGGGCACACATGAATTTCACACATAGACTGGGGACCACCCTGCCTCAGCCTCCTGTATGCTGGGATAACAGGCACACTGAGTGATCCTGATACCCTTGCCAGATATGCAAGAGTTTCTTTCTCAGTCTTTCCCCCACCCCACCCCCATACCCTGGGGCCAGGGATGGAACTCAGGACCTTGTGCTGGCCTGGCAAGTGTGGTACCACTGAGCTACATCCCCAGCCTACACCGTTTTCATTATTGCAACCTTGGGGAGGTTTTGAATCAGGAAGCCAAGTCCTCTTTGTTCATTTTTTGTTTTAAGCCTGGCAGTTTGTATCCTTTTGATAGTCCATGTGAATTTTAGAATGGGTTTTTCTATTTCTCAAAAAAAAAAAAGAAAGTTGGGTTGGGGGTCGGATCTGATCTCTGAGTTTCTGGGATTAATGCTGACATTGCAACACCGCCTTGGGGACCCACTGCTGTGGGACGTGCTGAGTGCAGCATGGGACGCATTTCAGAGCACACCTTTGGTCCTGGCAGGCATCTTTTGCATGGGACTCAAAGTGCAAGAGAGAACTTGTTAGCGTCATTGCCTGGTGACTCATGACCCTTCCCTCCAAGACAGCGTGTTTGGTACTTCTGGGTTTTGGTCCCCACTGTCCATGAACATGGGATAACTTTCCACTTATGGCTTTTCTTGGGGGTTGTTTTGAGACAGGGTTTCACTACATAGTACAGGCTGGCCTTGGACTCACATGGAGCCCAGGCTGGCCTCAAACTCACAGCAACCCTCCTGCCTCAGCCTCCTGAGTACTAGGATGATAGGTATACGTCTCCATACCTAGCTTGTCTTTTTTGTTTTTTGAGACAATGTTAGGTCAGGCTGGCCTTGAAATCTTGGTGATCCTCCTGCCTCAGCCTGAGTGTTGGGATCACAGGTGTGTGCCACTATGCCCAGCTACTTTTAGGACTCTTCCTTTACAGTGCTCTGAATTGAACCCAGCACTTCCTGTATGCTAGGCTAGCACTGTATCATTCAGCTACAACCCAAGCCCCGAAGTTTTAATTTGCAAGTCGTGAAAAATGATATTTCCTATACTCTTTGACTCCTGTATTTCTTCTTGGGCAACTGTCTTTAGACAACTGGCTCATGTTCTTTTTTTTTTGGTACCGGGGATTGAACTCGGGTCCTTGTGCTTGCAAGGTAGGCCACAGAACCGCTGATGTTCTCTTTTTAATAAATAACTTAGGGGCTGGGGATTTAGCTCAGTGGCACCACACCTGCCTGGCAAGCATAAGGACCTGAGTTCAATCCTCGGTACCAAAATAATAATAATAGTAATTTAGGGCTGAGAGTACAGCTGGGTGGTAGAGTGCTTGCTTGCCTACCATGCACAAAGTCCTGAGTTCAGTCCCCAGTACTACACTTAAAAGAAGGCGGAACTCCATTCCTTTGCTGGGCGCAGTGGCGCACACCTGTGATCCTGGCACTCAGGAGACTGAGGCAGGAGGATCCCCATGAGTTGAGGCCAGCTTGGGCTACACAGGGAGACCCTGTCTCAAAAAAAAACAAAAATAAGACACAATCGTTTATCTATTCAGTGGTATCAGGGATTGAACACTGGGTCTCTCACATGCTTAGCCCAGCACTCTTACCACTGAGCTACATCCCACCCCTCAGTAATTCTTACTGAAAGAATTCCACATGGTGTGATTCCTTCCACTGCCCTTCAAGGTCACCTTGCTTCTGATAAAGACTGAGTCACAGTTTATCTTCACGGTAGACCTTTTTCCTGGGTGTGATGACGCATGCCTGCAGTCCCACAGTCAGGAGACTGAGGCAGGAGGAATGTGGGCCCAGGGCCAGCCTGAGTTACTCAGTGAGATCCAGTATTGAAAAAAGCCAAAAAGGAAAGGGAAAAGGAAAGGAAAGACGCTTGGTTCGGTGGAGTATTCCTGTCATTCCAGCACTCACGAGGCTGAGGCAGGAAGATCACTGCAGCCTGGACTATTATAGTTTTCAAGACCAGCCTGGACTACATAGAGAGACTGTGTCAAAACAAGAACAAAAAATCTGTGCTCTGTAGTTTTTTGTTTGTTTGTTTTTGAGACAGGGTCTCACTATGTAGTTAAGACTGACCTGGAACTCACTATACAGCCCAGGCTGGCCTTGAACTTGAGATCCTCCTGCCTCAGGCTCGCTACTGCTGGCCTGGAACAGCTTCCTTGATTTGACGCCCATTTGAGCTGAGGTCAGAAAGAGGAGCCACTGGAGATCTGGGGAACAGAAACAGGCTGCATGAGGGGCCGGGAAGAGCAACATCAGGAATATTTAGGGGGCAAGTGGGAGGTAGCAGACACAACTCGCAGTAGTGGAGAGTGACTTTTGTCCTGAGTTAGATGGCAGCCATAGAAAGATCTGAGCTAGCGGAGGGATGGAACCAGACTCTGGCGCTCAGGCATGCCCTCTGGCGGCGGTGGGAAGGACACACAGGGTGAAAAGAACCTAGGGCCCCAGGCTGAGGGATAAGAGGGTGACAGGGACAGATTTGGGTGGATTCTGGCAGGCAAGCAGGTGTGAGGTGCAAAGCACAGAGTAGAACTAGGGGTGACCCCAAGCTCTGGCCTCCCGAGGACTGGGATGGCAGGCGTGTGCCCTCAAACCCAGCCTCCCGAACTCCCCGACACGGTCTTGGCTTCCCTGACCCCTCCTCCCTCCTGTCCACCCTGCAGCTTCGAGGCGGAAAATGGGCCGACGCCGTCCCCCGGCCGCAGCCCCCTGGACTCGCAGGCGAGCCCAGGCCTTGTGCTGCACGCTGGGGCGGCCACCAGCCAGCGCCGGGAGTCCTTTCTCTACCGCTCCGACAGCGACTATGACATGTCACCCAAGACCATGTCCCGCAACTCATCGGTCGCCAGTGAGGCGTGAGCAACTCTCTCCCTGCTGCCGGCTCCCGAATGTGCAACCCTCCTGCCTCAGCCTCCCCCTCCTCTCCCCGGGCCCCGTCCCTTCTCATCCTGGTGCCCACCTTAGGCCCCGCAGCCCCTGCCCACCCGGACAGGACCACCCCCCGGCGGCACATCTGCATTCGGGGGGTGTAAGTGGCTTGTCGCCCCTCCCTGCCCACTGGCTTTTGGACCCCCGTATCCTCCCCAGAGCTGCTTCTCTGTGGGTCCCTGACCAGTCACTGTCCTTGATTGCAGGCACGCAGAGGACCTCATTGTAACGCCCTTTGCCCAGGTGAGACCCCTCCCCAGGTGGCTCAGGAGGGAATCGACTGCAGACTTTCCCTGCATCTGTCCTCACTGCTGCCTGCCCACCCTAGGTGCTGGCCAGTCTCCGCAGCGTCCGAAGCAACTTCTCACTCCTGACCAATGTGCCCATTCCTAGCCACAAGTAAGTCGAGGCTGGGACTCAGTAACTGTGATGACCAGGGGAAGGCACAGCAGGTTCAGTGTTCAGCCCTGCTGTGTGACCTTGGGCAGGCCCACGACCTCTCTGATCCTCTGTTCAGGTCACATCTCCTGAGCCAGAGAGCCCACTGCAGTTTGAAGGCCTAAGCCACAGGAGCTTAAAAAATACAAAGCAGAGCCAGAGATTTAGCTCAGTGGTGCCACCACCTGCCTCGCAAGCTCAAGGTCCAGAGTTGGATCGTTGGTACCACAAACAAAGAACCAAGGGTCTGGTTGTGCTGTAGGGAGGCCAACAGCCACAGGCCAGGCCACACCACACGTGTGCTAGGTCAATAGCATTGCATTCTTAGTTCTTCTGTGTCCGTTCTGTGTGTCTGTTTGATATCTCTGAGGAGTCCCAGAGACAGAGTAAAAACTGTTAGCACTTGGCCCAGCACATAGTAAGTGCTGAGGAAACATGATGGGTTCTTCTCATTTTGAAGTCAGGGGGACAGGCGCATCCTAGAGGGTTGGAGAAGTTGAGCAGAGTAGTCAAGCAATCAAAGTTTGGAAACTCCGGACGTGGTCTTACTGCTCGGCTCTCGGTTCTCCAAGAAGCCACGGTACCTCCTTGAGCCTCGGTTTCCTCCTCTGTAAAATGGGTTCCTGGCGTGGCTCGGTGGCAGGCTGCAGGCAGAGCACGTGACCACATGCAGGGGACCAGTGAGTGACAAGGAGGCGGCAGGGACCCGGGGGGGCTGGCAGGGTGACAAGGGAGCCTCACTTCTTTGCAGGCGATCCCCGCTGGGAGGCCCCAGCCCAGTCTGCAAGGCCACACTGTCAGGTAGCTAAGTTGGGGGGGGGGAGGCGTGGCTTGCTATCCCCGGGGGTCCCTCGGCTGCACCCTGGTCACCTTGTGGGCTGGGGTCTCTGGGAAGTGTCCCTGGGGACCCTCTCGGACACCGCACCTGCCACCCCTTCCCCAGAGGAGACATGTCAGCAGCTGGCCCGGGAAACTTTGGAGGAGCTGGACTGGTGCCTGGAGCAGCTGGAGACCATGCAGACCTACCGCTCAGTCAGCGAGATGGCGTCGCATAAGGTGGGTGGGGCTTCTGAGGAACCAACCACTAGCCAGGACTGGTGGGTGGGGCTTCTGAGGGACCAACCACTAGCCAGGGTTAGTGGGCGGTGCTTCTGGTGGATCGACCACTGTGCGGGGCTGTTTGGGTGGAAGAATCCCTGGGTGGAGCTAGTCGGGGTGGGGTCAATTACTGGGAAGGGCCTAGGGAATAAGACCAAGGGCCAAAAGTGGGCAGGGTCTGTGGTGAAGCCAGTAAAGAGGTGGGGCTGATGGGTGGAGTCAGCCATTCCGTGAAGTGGGGCAGTTCCCGGGGTAGAGCTGCTGGGAATAGAGTCTACTGGGTGGGTGAGCCACATCGTGGGTGGGACCAGTTCCTGGGTAGGCCCTATGGAATGAGAGCAAGGGCCAGTGTGGGTGGGGCCAAGTAATGGGCGGGTCGGGGTGGGCGGGGCAAACCCTTGGTATGGCCCACGCGGGGAGGGGCAACCCCCCCCCCCCCCCCCAGTGAGGTGCCGGTGCAGTGTCAGCTGTGGGCCAAGCTGATGCGTGTAGGGCATAGGACGAGCCTGTCCCTCGGGCTGCCCTTTGAATACTTGTATCTCTTGTAGATTCTGGCTTTTCCTCGGGGCTGGAGGGACCTGGTGTGCGTCAGGGTGTGTGTGTCTCTGTAGCTGACTCTTTCTGGGACTGTTGTGCATTCCTGTGACCTGAGGTTGTGTATCTGGGGTTTGGGATCAGTACAGCTGTGGTTTTGTTAGCTCCCGATTTGCAGAGCTGTGTTTAGAGTGGGTGCTGAGGGGAGGTTATGTGTGTGTTATATGTGCAGGCTACTGCCCGAGAGGTGTGTTTGTCTACAGTTTAAAGTTGATCTAGGGGAGAATCTGTATTTCTTACATCTTTGTGACTGTGAGTGTGTTCGCATTGCTGCGGGAAAGGGCACAAGATCTCCCTGTACAGCTGTCTATGGTGTGCACTGCACAATTCCAGGGGGCACCATTCAGAGAGCAGGCAGCCTGGATGATGCTTCCTGGAGTTCTGTAGCGTGGTGGCAGCCTTTGTGGGTGGGTGCCTATCCAGAAACGAGTGTGCAGGTGGTGATGCCTTTGTTGGGGGGAGTGCATACATCTGTGGGCGGAGGCTTGTCTGGGAAAGTGCCAGCGTGAAAGTGATTGTGTCCTCGAGGGTGGGTCAAGCAACTGAGAGTGTGACTGTGCTCTGGATAGGCGTGTGCAGGTGTTCCTTGCTGTGCACGTGTGTGTGTGTGTGTGTTTGAAATGCGTGGCCAGGGATGTGTCAAGTGTGTGTCTGGGTGTGGGTCCATGTTCGTGGAAGGGGTATGTCGGAAACACGCTGGAACCCTAACAGTATGTCGGCCATCAGGGTTCTGGTGTCTCCACTGTGTGTAAGCATCCTGTAAGTGTGGCACTGAAAGCGCTTGGGTCTCAGGGTGCATCCGCTGGGTTTTCAAGTGTGAAAAACCTGGGCAGTGTCCGAGTGCGTGTTTCTGCCTCTGGATTGCCCGAGGATGGGCTGTGACCTCATAGGGGAGATAGGTGGGTCTCCCGCCCTCCCTGCCCCTGGGTGCCCCCCAGGTCCTTGCTGACGCCAGTGGGCTCTGATGCCCACTGAAAGCGCTTGGGTCTCAGGGTGCATCCGCTGGGTTTTCAAGTGTGAAAAACCTGGGCAGTGTCCGAGTGCGTGTTTCTGCCTCTGGATTGCCCGAGGATGGGCTGTGACCTCATAGGGGAGATAGGTGGGTCTCCCGCCCTCCCTGCCCCTGGGTGCCCCCCAGGTCCTTGCTGACGCCAGTGGGCTCTGATGCCCCCTTAAAA